CCCCTCCTCCTCAGTCTTCCTCCTTCTTCTCCTCAGTCCTCTTCTTCTTCAGTCCTCCTCCTCCTCCTCATCAATTTACACAATTTATTGTTAATTAATGTTTTTAAACGCATTTGAGTCTGTAACATATTGACATGTTACTGTTACTGACTCAAAATGTGCTCGAGATTTTTTTGTTGAACAGAGTTTTACTCTCCAGTACTATGAAAAGTTGTTACATGATAAATAAAGATTTTGATAATAAAGTGATTTTTTATCCCTAATGTTCATCCTTAATGTTATTAAAAATTGTGTAGACTATTCTTTGTCTCTAACTGAGGATTGGAAGTTTGAGAAAGGACCATGTTCATTAACGTGTTACCCCATTTCTGCAGATAGCCCTACAAATTGTGGAGACTATTTAAATCAAAAGTTACTAAAGCGTTCGCTATTTGTTACGATTGTTATTACCAACCGTACCTCTTTCAATTGTGGACCGGGGTGGATGTTTCTGTCAAACAAGAGTTGATGCGACAGTGTGTTGTTTTTCGGACGAAACGATAATTGTTTGGAACAAGAAACCATTTTGGGTTTCTGGGACAACCACCAATCGATTTCTTGTCATATTTAAGTTCAGAAATAGCTACCTATATCGCCTAGAAACCTCAGAGGGAAGATTTAAATTTTCCCGATTTTTCTGATATGAGGGTTGATGAGGCCAAAATCGTAATCGGAATGATCGGAAAAATCGGGTTGGACAACTTTTTCTTAGGTCCCCTCATCCTTTAATTTTATGAAAGTTTATAATGCTACATTAATTTTATTGTTATATCCCTCCCGGAATATTGCTCATGTGGCTAATAGGATATTATTACAATGTACATGGGTACAATATCTAGACCTATCAACCGGGCATGTTAGTTAAATACTTGAAGTTAGATCTTTATACCTCTTAAAGCGTAAGTAATCAAGATACAGGGGTTAAAATACCAAGATAATTGCGTCTTGATATATATATAAACAGATAAACTAAACAGCCTGAAACTGGAAAATGTGCCTCTTTTTTGAAATAGGTACGTGAGTTTCGAGACAACACCAGTTGAAATTAAAACGGGCAGGAATTCTTTGATCCTTCAATTATCAATCATACAAATTGTTTAAAATGGTTAAAAAGATAAGATAAGATAAGATAAAAAGAGCGGAATACTACTAGTAAGAATTTCATGGGTATCAAATATCAATATCAGAACAGACTTGACTTACTGGTCTGTGCTTTGGAGCTCGGTTTAAGGGGAGGCATGATTTCCGAGATTAAATCACAACGGAAAGCCTCGATAGGAAAATCACAGATTCACAGATTTTAAATTTTACAAGACACTCTTCGACAATGATCACGGAATTGAAAGGTCCTTTTTATATTAGTGAAATTGACCAAAAAATCTTCACCATTTCCAGCTTTCCAGATAACAAAGAAATAGAACAATAATCATTCCTTACAACTAACAACTTGTACTACAAAATTTGAAGATTATAACACCAAAAGAGTGGATAAGTCCACCTTACCCTACTCGATGTGAGTTCCTGCTGTTTCCTTTCCAAGAACACACAGACAAATACTGACAACAACTGCCGCGATTTGAGCAAATGCTAACACAATTCTTGGGTGGAGATTAAAGATAAACTGAGAGCATGCAATACCAGCACAGGCCCCTATTCTGTTAAAAACTAACCCAAATGAAACTACAAAAGATCTCACTTCAGTTGGAAAATACTCAGCCCCCAGTATAAATTGGCTTAGTCCAATCTGGGCCGCACTGAATTTCGATATTGTGAAAAACACAAATGAGTACTTGTCGTTTACACAGAAGTATAACGCTGTAAGAGCAATCAGTTGCAATAACACTGATGATTGGAATGTCTTTTTCCGGCCAATGATCTCCATCAGTATAACTGCTACTAGGACTCCCAGGGGTTCGAATAAACTGATGACACCCAGATCAAACAGAACCGATTTATTGAAGATACAAGATTCATCTTGTGTCACTTTTATACCAGTACAGTATCCTTCATTTAGAAATCTTGGCATGGAGTAACTGATGGTGTAGTAGATGAATATTGCTGTAAATCCCAGCGCATAGACGACTACCAGATCCGTCATACGTCCAGTTGCCTTAATAAAGTTCAAGGCACCGAAAAGTCCGGTTTCCTTATTATAAGTGTCATCGTCATCTTCTACCCTTTTCAATTTGATGATACCGCTTCCGCTGTTGCAGTTGAGCTTAGCGATGGTTTGGACTGTATTTTCCGCTCTGTCCCAGTTTCTATTTTTAGCTTCAAATCTCGGAGACTCTGGCATGATGGCCAAGAAGAAGATTGATGGAGAAAACATGATTGCAGTTCCTAACATAAACCCTCTCCAGCCGTAAGGATCAATGACGTAGTACGCCAAAGCACTTGCCAGTGATGCACCAATCCCCCACGCCAGGGAAACATAAGAGATCAGAAATCCTCTCCATTTGACTGTTGCTATTTCCGCTGAAATTTATTTAAATTGAGTGTGTGCCGGGAAAAAATATATTTATATTGTTCTCCAACATATCCACGAAAATGCGTGAACAGTGATCGCTGATAATTATTGAATCGCCTTGATGAACAGTGCGTAACATAAATTTTTTCATTAAGAAACCCTCGTACATTACAATACATATTACATAATACTTAGACTTTATTTCGTGCAGAGCACTCGCGCACGTGCGGGGATGCTAAGAGCACTCGATAGCCGAGATATTATGGTATCGACGTATCGTAATTCGTAACATTTTGGTGCTAACGGATACTGATCAAAGCAGTGTCCTGAGCAATATCAGGGAATAAAAGTAGCAGAAATTATCTTGATCCGTGCTTACCTGTAAGAGCGATAGAAGGCCCCATCCCAATTCCCATAAACACCCCAACAAGTCCCCGCAGTACAGCTAGATGCCAGTATTTTGTAGCAAGTCCACATAGCAATCCTGCTATGGTAACTCCTATAGCTCCAGCTAGAGCTACTGGCTTCCTGCCAAATTTATCACCCGCTCCAGAAAAAAGGAGCGATGCCAGCGCTAATCCTATGAACACATTTATCTGCGAAAAGTAAAGAGTGCAAATGATACTAAACGTTATATTATCTGGCCAATCCTTCAAAAATAATGTTATCAAGAACAAACTTGGAAGAAATCAATTTATTAATGATCAGGTATGAAGATTAATAAACATATTTTCAAGTATTATATGTTACCAGTCCTATATTTTATCATGAAAGTTTCTGGGATGGCTGCTGAGTATAAGTTTATCTTAATAGCGGTGTTCTTCAATTTATTATTATTATTAAGACTTTAGATAATAAAGATTAAGATGAATAAAGATTATTAATAGAGATTAAGATTAATAAATTACCTGAAGAGCAGTAACCCAGAAAGTAGTGAGCTCCCACTCACATCTCACCATGATTCCAACTACCGACAGGACTATTATTTCTCCCCCTTCTAAGCAGCAGAAAAAGAATGGACCCAGACTAAAAAGAATGTTTCCACATCCGAATCCTGCTGTTTCCATTGCTTCATTTATATCTACTTCTGCATCCGGTTCTTTGTCAAAGTCATCCTTCAGTTTCTTACTCTCATCAGAATTGCTCATTTCATTACCAATTAACTGCTTCCCTGTGCACTTGCAACATACACTATAAAATTGAAAGAAGTGGGGTTAGACTATTTATTTCATCGCAATCTTCTAAAAGTAGGTAATCTTTGTGGCATCATTTTGAGCGAATCTTAACGATTTTATGGATAAACGGGTCACAAGCGATCAATTTCGCGGCGAAACTTGGTTATGTCATCTCATACGTTTAAACTTGGGTTATCAGTTATATTACATAGTGTGATAGAAAACATAACTAAGCACAACTATCCAATCCTAGAAATGGAAGGAAAAACATAATCACGGATAAGACGATTTATAAACATTAAACTGTCCCGATGTCTTTGACACAGACTTTTAAAGCCAGATTAAAACCAGTTAAAAACCAGTTCAACATCCTGACCATGATTAAAAACTAGCTGCTATATTATTATTGGAAACTAGCTCATTTATGTTAAACTGGTTTATCCACATTGCACGTCATGTACGTTGTAACTAGGGTATCCACTCCGATAATCGTAACCGATAATTATCTCCGATAATTCGTTAAAAGTTATCTGTTTATCTAAATGAAACATTTTTATCGGCATAAAAATTTACTAGAAATTACCGAAATTACTGCTACAATACCAATGTAAGTTGTAACCAAATATATGTGAATCTCACGACAAAAGATTAATAACAATTGGCGGTATCAAAACCCACGTACCAGGGTGCTTATTTTCCAATACGAGATTGGGGAGGAGGGGGGAGGGTAAGATTGTGGACGGGTTCTGTTTATAAACAAACAACAAACAGACCAACAGAGAGCAGATGGGTGTAGAGGCTCATGTGTCCTTCAGTTAAATACTGGTTAGACAGAAACAATTTGCAGGGCTAGTCCGAAGAAGCAGTAGAACAAGTAATGAACAAAACCTTGACAGTTAGCATTATTTTACCCTCCATCAAAAGGCAGAAAGGGTTGGTGGAGTTTACCATCGACCTAAAGTATCCATGTGCTCTTTAGAGCGAATGTGTCCTTCAGTTCTGCACTGTTCTTAACTTATTATGAGTCGTTACATACAAGGCGTTAAGGAAGCAGTTCCAGGGGCAGTACACGGTTATCAAATTAGTATGAGTTGTAGAAGCACAAGAGAGTATTATAACTATATAATAAAGCAGGTGTCGAGGTCACAGTGCACGTGGCCTGGTGGTAAGATCTGTTGTACATTTGTACAAACCTATTGTGTTTATAAAACCTATTGTGTTTAGTAACACTACCATAATATATTGTAGTGTTACTATGCTAACACTGCCATATAAGGCAATTCTCCCCATATTTCTATGGTAACCAAGTTTAATTTCAGTTGAATATGATAACGTGGTGCGTTAACAAGGCAGAACAAACAACAAAAAGGGCATCCACTGGAGATATTGACAAGCGAAAAGATTCCAAACGACTTGGCAAAAAGTCTCCCTTCAGGAAATCGTGTGACGAAAGTGGTACGTTTCATGAATTAATCAAGTTATAAGTACTAGTTTGCTAAACAGTGCAGTCAACCGGGGCTGACCGCTCGTTAGCTATGTACCTCAAGTGTGAACTAAGTTAACCGACTGAAACACTGTCCACATCTCAATTTCCACATTAAGGACGTGTAGACTAGCCGGTATATGGTGTGACGTTTGCTTTTGAGGGCTACGGGCGATAATTCCAAACAGCTTGCTGGAGGGAAGGCCCGGCCCGAAAAGAAGCCAAGAATAAGAGTAATGAGAATCAAGGACAAAAGAAAATTGCGATTATTTTGGCCAAAAATCGCGGCGCCGCGACAAGCGGTCTATTGTTCAATAACAAGCAAAACACAAATCAATAACTATAGATCCGACGACGTTTGTGACAAGTATCCGACAGCTGACAATCAATAACAGCACTGATTTCACCTACTGCACGATTTCATAATCCATTGTATGTCTAGTGGTCAAGTTAATGTCTAGTGGTCAAGTTAATGTTTAGTGGTCAATTTTATATGTTTAGTCGTCAAGTTAATGTCTAGTGGTTAATTTTATGTCTAGTGGTCAAGTTTTATATGGCTACTGGTCAACTTTATGTCTAGTGGTCAAGTTAATGTCTAGTGGTCAATTTATATGTTTAGTCGTCAAGTTAATGTCTAGTGGTTAATTTTATGTCTAGTGGTCAAGTGGGGGGGGGGGGGGGGGGGCCAATGACTACTTTTGGGGACTTGGGGAATTCCGTCACGATTTTACCCCGAGTCCCCATGATTTTTAGTCCCCATTAGTCCCCAAAAGTCTCCATTAGTCCCCATTTAGATGATTTTTTAGTCCCCATTAGTCCCCAAAAGTCTCCATTAGTCCCCATTTATATTTATCCTACTCTTATCTTGGACAAAACATCTCGATCGTATCGTTATTAAACTAACTTGAAAACCATAAATATCTGTCAAAAATTCTGGGGACTTATGGGGACAAATGGTGAATTACGTCAACGAGTTGACCTCTAGTCCCCATGATTTTTAGTCCCCATTAGTCCCCAAAAGTCTCCATTGGTAGTCATTGGCCCCCCCCCCCCCCCCCCCCCCCCCCCCCCCCCCCCCCCCCCCCCCCCCCCCCCCCGGTCAAGTTTTATATGTCTACTGGTCAACTTAATGTCTAGTGGTCAAGTCTTTGGCCGACAAGGTTACGTCAGCACTCAGCAGGCGAGTGGGAGCGGGTGAAGAAATGCTTGTGAAAGTGGATTCCTGGAAAGCAATTTTCTCCGCGGTTCATGCTACTCTGATCATTATTAGACTAACATTTTTTTTTTGGTTTTATGGTTATGTTCAGGTAGTTAATCTTGTCTAGTAGTAGTCTAGATTTTATCATGTGGGGCCTTACTGCTATGATCGCTGCCTACGAATCTGAAAAGAATGTGATACATCCTGGTTCCTTAATAGCGTTTATTATTTTATTTATTATTGCACATTGAGCTGCTGAGTGCTGTATTAACTGTTGCCGATCGGGAGAGACTCGAGGATCCAGGGACAATAGTCTTACATGTTCTGGAATTGCCTTTCATACATTACACATTTTCGACAATTCCCAGTTCACACACTATACATTCTTAAATGATATCAAGTGTCTAAACACACTCCATGTGGGCGGGGGGGCGTATCAGGTACTTAGTTCTGTAAGTGACGTCGACTAAGTGTAATTTTGGAATTTTGTCAAAAGACCCACCCACCCCCTTCGCGGCTTTTGTGGTACTAACTGTTGAGAAATCACGGTACTAACTGTGTATTGGTATATAAAATAAGATTGGGAAATGGGCAAAAAAAATGGGGGGAAATGGGGAAAGAACCTCAAACCCACTCCCAAAATTGAAATTTGAGGTAAAATGGATTTTTTGGGGTTGGAGACCCCCCTTAATAACCATGTACTAAATGTTTTTTGGGAGAAAATATGACCTCCCCTCTGCAATACGAGCTCAGAAGCGTGAGCTCTGCCTTCAGAGGTACGTATTGAGGATGACTCTGACAGAAAATCTTTTAAGTCAATATTTTTCTAAGTTTTCTAGAAACTACTTTTGTTCACGATTCATCTATTCATGCTACCCTGATCAATATTAGCCGAAAATATCTCCGCGAATTGTCGCGAGGATCTAAGAAAATTACGATTTGTCGCAGCAAACGTGAAAAATCGCGATCTTTCGCAGATAATGGGGAAATCGCGATTCCGCACGTGCCGCGATTTCCTTTTGTCCTTGATGAGAATCTAAGAAATGAGAATCTAAGAAATGAGAATCTAAATAATGAGAATCAAAGAAATGAGAATCAAAGAAATGAGAATCTAAGCAATGAGAATCTAAGAAATGAGAATCTAAAACATGTTTTACAGGACGAGAAGAGCGCTTTGTAAACTGGAGATCAGAACAAGGCAGCACTGCTCTACACTACGCAGCTAAGGAATCCCGGGATCATGAGATAAAGGCTCTGCTCCAGTTAGGGGCTGATAAGACAATCACAGATAACTTTGGAAGAGCACCCCTTGCTATGTCTAACAACCCAGACATTAGGGTACTCTTCGAGTGAGTCGTTAAATTAATAGATGTTATTTATATGGTAAAATTCGGATGTTTATGAGTCGCATGGTTGCAATGTATTCTTGTTTAAAATTGTATTGATCCCGTTTGATGCGACAAGGAAAAATGCTCTTATCAGGAAAGGAATATTATTTATATTGTATCATTGGCACGTCATGATGGTTTAAGTTTTATTCTCAAGGAATTCAAGTTGTGTTTAAGGTAAGGTAACTGGTTACTGGTTACTGGTTGAGTGTTTAGATACAGTTCTAGAGGTATTTATGATTCAGTAATTAGTGAGGATACACAAAGTCGTCCAATCAAAGATACTCAAATTCGTTTAAGTAGATGCTAATCAAATTGGCAAAAAATCAAATTCACAAAAATCTCAAGTTTCAACCTTTTCCTAAAGAAGACAACATTTGAAAAATACTAGGACAAATAACTCAAAGATCTACTCCTAAATAAAATCTTCAGCGTATAACCTTTGGCTCCATCGAAGAACACAGGAAACAAGTTCTATTATAAATGATCAATAAATTGGATTTTTAGATTATTCACAATTTTAGTTAATAAAAATTTGTGTCGGGGAAATCTGTAACGTATAACTTCTCCATAGAGATAAATTCAATGTTTTCTGACGGTTATCTCATCTATGAGGTAGATTCTTTTAGATTGTTCAGTCATACTTGATAGATACCCTAGATACTATTTAATCATCGTATAGTTAAGCATATATGGGTAAAACTTGCTATATTTAAGTAACCTGATAATGGGCCGCAATTCACAGCATGACAAGTAAATCACCGTCCTTAACTCAAAGATTTACCTCCTTAATAAAATCCTCATCGTATGATCTCTGGCTCAAGGAAACACGTTCCATTATAATTAATAAATTGAATTTTTATATTACTCAAAATTTAGCAAATACCAACACCTATACACACCACTGAGGGTAGTCAGTAGTGTAAATATATGTTTTACTATTTGTGCTACAGATTTACTTCGCGTTGGTCAACTCTAAACTCTTGCATTGTTAAGATGCTATTGTCACAAGTTATTTTCGCTAAGAATCAAAAATAAAAATGAAAACTAATTATAGAAAGAAGGCGAACGCTGATGGGACCCCGCTCTCTCCTCAATACAAGACATTCGGGAATCATACGTATCAAGTTTTGACGAAATCGTATCTAATCTAGAATCGAAACTTTCTCATTTATTGGAGATTGCATCAAGTCTGGCAACAATCGAATTAGAAAAATTAACAAACAGTTTTTCGATTAGCTTTACCATAGACTGCTCTTCGGTTTGAATAGGAGAGCCTGAAAGGTTTAAATTTTGACGTTTTGGAGCATCCTTGTGAGAAGGCGAACTACTGGCACTTACATCAGATAACTTCCTTTTATTATCAGATTGGTTAAGCGAAGAACCAGAAAAATACTCTAGAATACCAGCCATAATCATAAAATATGGCCATGGGAACAACTTAAGTTAAGCCGGTAAAGTCTTGTACGTGGTATTGAAGAAGTACGTGTTATAGTGTGTATAGAAAAGATTTTAGGGAAGTTCTAGAAAAAACAGGTAAAACCACACAACTTTAACGGTTAAAAAATGAATTAAATAAAGAAAAATGAAGTAAAGAAAGAAAGACGTATTGTAAGGATGAGAAAAAATGGGTAAAACCACACAACTTGAACGGTTAAAAAATGAATTAAATGAAGAAAAATGAACTCAAGAAAGAAAGACCTATTGTAAGGATAAGAAAAAACGGGTAAAACCACACAACTTGAACGGTTAAAAAATGAATTGAATAAAGAAAAATGAACTCAAGAAAGAAAGACGTATTGTAAGGATAACAAGATGATGTGATAACAAGATGTACAGCTTAAGGTACCTGCTCAACACTCGATAGTCCTACCTCAATAGTCAGACACGCACACTGAGCAAGGAAATTAACAAAAGAAAACAGAACAAAAACAAGGTACACATGGGATGTGGAGCGGTATTAATTATACCGGTGTTTTAGCGGCGCCCGCTAGTGCGTGTACCATGGTATTTAATAGTAAGAGTATGTTACCATGGTAACGCGACACATTATTAAAGCAACAGCTGATGTAACCATGACTGTAACGCGATATGTTATGAAAGTGGCGGGGGGGGGACCAATTACCTAATTATTCTCTTTTTGGTGATATGGGCATACACTTGTTGACATATTAACCTTGAGTTATGAATATTGAATATGATGGAAATAAATATCACATCAGAAATATTTAACTTTTCGATTTTGAGCAGCCATAAATTAGTAATCTTGTGATAGTTGGATACCGCCGGAAAGTGAAACAAGCTAAAAGTAAATTCAACGAATTGACCTCTAAACGAGCATCAGCATCAGCATCAGCACATGCCACTCCTCATTTAGAGGGGCATCTAGCTGCTCCTGCTCCATTTTTAGGTTCCAACTTGATAAAGTAATAGGTCTTTAGGGTACAAATGAAACCAAAGTGAGGTGGAAACACTGAAACAGCTTGCTAACCGTGTGTAACGAGGTATATAACAAAAGGCCAATAAAACATAAGAAGAAGAACTAGTAGTCTAAAATGGCGTGTGCCCTCGTGAAAGGAGAGTAAAACATTAATTTTAAGCTGGAACTGTCTTTGTTTCTCCCGGAATTTTCTTCAGTTCTTTTCTGCAACCTCTATTTCTGTCATATCCTTAAACATTGTGTATAATTAAACTTTCAAATCTCCCGTACCCTAATATTCTTCTTAAATACTTACAGGGACATAAATTTGAATTAATCTGCATAAGTTTGATAAATTATACTATTTCCATTTCGATCCTCTATCAATAATCATCAAAGAAAAGGGAAAGTATAAGCATGCACTATTTTTCAAAAACTTTAAAACTAGCTCATCCTTGCAATTACTTCAATAAATAAGCTTCAAACATGTCCAGATAATCAATTAGATAATAAATTAGACAATGTCCTATTAGATTCCTAATATCTTGACACAGTTTTTGATTACTTTGTATGGGTCGATTTTCTCTAGGTATCGGGAATTTCTTTTCACAGCCATTCTTTCGTATAATAGTAATATACACAAGCAGTGGTGTGTGCTGTACAATGTTATAATGTTGAAACTTATAGAATTTGAAAGTTACTGAATTTGAAATTTCAAATATAATTTTCTATGTTTACAACAGTGGAGCATATTTTTTTGTCAGCAATATTTTATTAAGTTCCGGTTAAAATTGAACTGTAAATCAATCTAATTATAACTAATATAACTTACAATGATTATAACTAATATAACTTACAATGATTATAACTAATATAACTTACAATGATTATAGCTAATATAACTTACAATAAATAATAATTATAACTAATATAACTTACAATAATTATAACTAATATAACTCACAATAGTTATATTTATAACAATTTCTGCCAGAAAATAATTATGAATATAACACTATTTTAGATAGTGCCATCTGGGGATGTGTCCCTTTACAATAGAGTGCAATGTAAATGGCAATCAAATATAGAATCATTATTTCTATATTGATATGCTCTTGAAATTTACAATTCCATTCAGCACATTTTGGCTGGGTGTAAAGTAGCTCTTAGTCTTGAAGGAAGATATAGATGGCGTCGCGTCAAGGTTAATTATTAATATAACAACATAACTATTTTCAATAAATTTTCACGTAGAAACAGAACTTTTTGGACTATACCCCGACTATACTATAGATTCTATGTGATTCAACTTACTGCTGAGGTCGTTTGAGAGTAATTTACAAAGGGTCTCTATGTTCTTTGCTGTTTCAGCTTTTGATGCACCCTTCCGATCCTAGGGTACCTGCAAAACCAGTTATTTATTAATAATGATGTCACTAATTGAATCATATGGTGAATGGTGGAATAAATGAAGATGCTATGTGGGCGAATGTGTATTGTGTATCATATAAAATTCCAATGGTTCAAAGCGTCAGAAAACCAAAATGTGATTGACATTTAAATCCAACTACAAAACCTTTTTACAGAAATGCATTAAAAATCTGATAAAGATTGCTATTCAGTATTCATTGATAAAATAAAAATGTAACTTAAACTTACAACTCTGCGTCAGACATTTTATCTGCAACGTTCGTGATGAGCAGTTCATCTACACAATAAATGTATTTCCTTGTGTATCGCAGTTCTTTTTCTGTGAGATATTGGTCGACAATCGACGTGGTCTCTTCCATATATCCATAATAAACTAATAGTTTAACGATGGTAAAATTTGTATCATGAATTAGAATTCATAAATTTAACAGCTGTCGATGTTAAAGTAACCCTAACGTAATATTGCTACTCGGTGCATAACAACATTTCTTATCATATTCCTTATATTATCTTTTAGCCCAGGTGATCGCGGTAGAGTCTCTGTCCGCGACTTCCCTGCATAGTAGCAGTACACTTCCATCTGTTTTTAAAACAATAAGCTAAATAGAAGTCTTATGAAGTACAAGTCCCCTCCTTCTCCTCATCAGTCCTCCTCCTCACTCCTCAGTCCTTCTCCTCCTCCTCCTCCTCCTCGTCCTTAGTCCTCTTTATCAGTCCTCATCAGTCCTCATCGGTCCTCCTCCTCCCCAGTCCTCCTCATGGGGCCTTTTCCTGGGTCCTCCTCCTCTTGGGTCCTCCTCCTCTTGAGTCCTTCTTCTCCTCCTCCTATTCATTCCTCCTCCTCAGTTCTCCTTCTCAGTCTCACTCCTCCTCAGCCCCCCTCCTCTCCCTCCTCAGTCCCCCTCCTCAGTCCCCCCTCCTCCTTTTCCTCTCTTTCATCTCTCAATAATTTGTTCAATTTATAATTATTGTTGGTGTTATTGTTAACATAATTTATTGTTATATACTAAAATGTTTTTAAGCGCATTTGAGCCTGACTCAAAATGTGCTCAAGAATCTTTGTGTTTAACAAAGTTTTACTCTCCAGTAATAAAACTTTTCATCCCTTTTTATGTTATTAAAAAATGTGTAGACTATTCTTTGTGCCTAATTGAAGATTAAAAGTTTGAGAAAGGACCATGGTCATTAACCGGGCTACCCATTTCTGCAGATAGCCTGTTACAAATTGTGGAGAAAATTTAAATCAAAAGTTACAATTTTTGTCCGTTTGGCAGCTATATTTTCAAAACGGACAAAAATTAACGGACAAAAACGGACAAAAAATAACATGATCCCCCCCCCCCCCCCCCCCCCCCCCCCCCCCCTATTAATCAATTACAATTTAAATATATAACACCTGGACCCCGGCATCTGGGTTTGATCTATTGATTCTTTCTAATTAATATCAATTTGGGTTTCGGAGACAATAATTGACTATGTATTTTAAAGGAACATTCAATTGTCATGAAAATGTACGCCAAATTGCCACAAAAATTCGGACTTTAAACATTTATTTAGTCCTGTTTAGTCCTGTTACATTTATGTAGCCCTTCCACTTCCACTTTACCACTTGCACTTTCTGCAGCCGCTTGCGCTCGGTCTATCTTATGGATGTTGTTGTTGTATGACACGTGGCTTTTAACTATTTCAACCAAATCGGTTAGGTTTATACTGGGAGCACTGGGTTGGTCAGCGGACGTCGCACTGGAACATGTCCCACATCCTATTATTTTATTACAATTAAATTTACAATTGAATTGTAATTTCTTTACAATTAAATCTGAACCATACCATTAATGGTAACCTCGTCAGTCAGTTTGAGGCGAGCCTTTATGATGAACTCACTGTCTTTCCAATACTTCAGTGACATCTTGACACGTTAGGGCCGCTCCACTTTACATTGCACGAGAACAAACTGAAGAAGACCTGGATCCTCATAGATGTTAGGGAAGAGTTTCAGTATCTCCTGTGCCAATTTGACGTGGCCAGCTGCGATACTTGAAAGGTAGCTAATAGCACCTATACCCGCTCTTGTGTATTGCAAGGTGTCCACAAAATCCGACACAGCAAGCAGCTGAGAGACCATTTATCTTCTTGGGTATTTAGAAGAGCAGAAGTTCTCTTAGGAGTCAAGGAGTTGCAATGTAGGAGACATAGTTTTCGCTGCTTAAGTGATCTCCAACGTCAGCAAATCGAAAAGCACGTGCAGGTTAAAATATTAAAATATGCAAAGTCTGAACCCTCTTATCCTTTAGAATACACACCTCTTGTTGGGCTATGTTTCCGCTGTTCATCTTTGTTCTGGGTTCTATTTGTCCCTCATCCTTTATTCTAACTGGTGAACTAGTTCTTCTTCTTTTGTAAAAAACAAAGTTTGCGCTTCTGAATAGATCCTCAAACTCTGCCAGTCGAAAGATACTAGCAGCAGATAATCCCGTCAGGATTTCCAAGCTGGTATCAGCTGGTCGTCTTGTTCCCACTTGCAGCTGATAATCCTGTCAGGATTTCCAAGCTGGTATCAGCTGGTCGTCTTGTTCTCTCTTTTACTTGTCCCACATCCTCTTATTTTATTACAATTAAATTTTAATTTATTTACAATTAAATCTGAACCATATCATTAAGGCCACAGGTAAATTTAAGGGGTCTCTGGTTTATATTTTTAAAAATTTCAAATTTAAATTTAATTTGAAAAGTATGATTTACTCCGTGGCCTTAATAAAGGTCCCATCCATCAATGTAGTGCTAGTCTCAAAGTCACCTTTAGTGCTCATACTGATGAGGCTGCGTACCTCGGACTTCACTAGATTAATGTCGAGCTCTGAAGGGTGCTGAACCTTGGCAAACCTAGCCAACTCTTTTTTATTCTTTTTTAAGAGAGATCCCATGACTTGCATCAGTATCTCCTCGTAGCCCAAACTAATC